ACAAAAGGCATCTGCAATCGTGAACAATTGACGAAAAAAGTATACATTTATCAGATAATAAACAAAGACTCATTTTGTAAACAATTTACCTTTTGTATATACAACTGACAAGATTACCTTTCAAATTATAAACAGACTCAATCCCAAGCGGTCTTTTGATCGTCGGACATACAAAAGAAATGAACAGATAACGCCTAACTTAAGCGCGGTTTACAATAACGAATATGATTAATCTTAACACTCTACTATGTCATCCAAATGAAGTAGAACTGATTCTTCTGCATCAAACAAGAAAAGAAAAACTTTATCTTTGGAATGTACGTGTAAAGTTAACATTATTAAAGACTTCGATACAAAAATGAAAATTTGTGAATTGGCAAAGAAGTTTGATCTACCGGAATCGATGGTCAGAACAATTATAAAAGGTAAAGAAAAAATTCTCGAAGCTGTAAAAAATGCTCAATCTTTAAATTCAAGCATCATTCGTAAATGTCAAGGTATTATCGCTGAGATGGAAACAATGTTAAAATTATGGTGTGATAATCAAGTTAATGTGAAAAATTGTATAATAATATATTTTGTTATACGTATGTATTATCTAAGATTTTACTAAACATTTTTTTTCTAAATTATTGTTTTCTTTAGTCTCCGGTCCCAATTAAAAATAATTTGTATGTATTTATATGCAAAATTATACCCCGACTTATGTGAATTCGACTTACGCGGTTATCGCTCGGTCCCACCTATTGCGTAAGTCCAGGGTATGACTGTATATCTAATTTAACATTTCTTCAATGTAACTTTAGATTTATTTTAAAATAAAATAATTTTTATAATAACTTTTAAAATTCTGGTGTTTATACAATAAAATAATTTTTGTTTTATAGTATAAAGAATTTAAAACGAAAAAATTAGATCCAGACTACAGGTTGAAGAGAAGAAGATTATTAACATCAACCACAGCATCTTCAAGCAGACTGACTAATTTAAAACGAATAAATTATAAAGAAGATTCAGATGTAGAAATTTTAAATGTGTTTAAATCAAGTACAAAAAATCTTGATAATGATATAGATTCAGTTACAGAGGATTCTTCAAAGAAAGTTAAAAAAAATGGAAATTTAAGTAATAAAAGTGATAAAAGTAATGGTTTACCAGAGTGTGCAGCTAATTATGATAATTCTTTTCAAGTAAATTCTCAATCTTCAAAATGTGAAAAGGTAACCTATCAACTTATTGAATATAAAAAATATATTCTTCAAAATATATTAAATAGATATACAGTCAAGCTTCAATTCAGTGCTGCTACTTTTTTGTCACTGAAATTGGTACTAAATTGAGTGTGCGCTAAGCTGAAATAACCCAAACAATAAGAATTATAAATTCAACTACTCAAAACTGGATATACATTAATAAACACTTCACATATAACTAATATCCACCATCTTACCTTATCCAATGGACACATATCAACTAAAGTCTACAGGAAACCTATACATCATCTGATCTTCATTCCTGCCTCTTCTTGCAATCTGTTTTTCTTCTGATGGCCTGACAAATGGGTAAAGGCCTGAGGATTAGGGCACTGAAGCCTTAATTCATCAGGCCTTCACCCATTTGTCTGACACTCAAGATGGGAATAAGGAACTCTTAACTATCACCCAGTATGCCAGACAACATAGCTAGTAGAGTTTCTCATTTTTCTGTCCTTTGCTTGTCCTGGGATTTCGAGAAAAAGCAAACTTTCCTGGGATCCTGGGAAATCCTGTAATATAATTAATTATTTTTAAGATATAAAATAAATCTTGAAATCAAATGATATAATTATTTTTAATTTTTTAAAGTAATTTTATATGTTCTGCAGCCTCCAAAATAATAATAATAATAATAATAATAATAATAATAATAATGCTGTATAAAATATGTATTAATAGTTATCTTTGAATTACGTAGAAATTTTCAGAAATAGAAAAAATGTATTAAAGTTTGTTGGAAACTGTTTACAACAAAAAAAAAAAAGCCTTTGAATCAAGTTGAAAATTTAAAAAAAACAATAAACTTAGATCAAACTTCTAACTTAGAAGGTAATTTTTGTTTTTTAAATAAAACAAATACAATTTACAATAATACAAAATATTATTGTAAATTTTTATAATAAGATTTTAAAAAGCCAAAATGATCAATACTCCGATCACTCAATCTGGTTCTTATTTTAGTAATGAAAAATCCTGCTATCCAGAATGCCCTTTCTGATTTAATTGATGTGGGTGGAATAGTTTATAATGCATTTAAGAGAAGACAAATGTTGTGTTTTTTTACTTGTAGCCTTGAAGATTTCTAGTTTGTTTTTGAAATGCGTTACAGTACTTTTTTGCTGTCTAGTATTCTTTATTTGTCTACCGCAGCTGCTTTAATAGCAGCATCACATTTATAGTCCAATAATTCGGCAGTTCATTTGGCTTTAATAATCAGGTTTATGAAGAAAAACTTTATACTTGCATACTTCATACTTGTTTGTATCCTTGCCCAATTTGCACAATCTGACATAATGCAACTATTGAAGCTACTGGGCATGGTTAAAAATTAAGACAACATATGTGCAATATCTTGAATAATTATTCAAGATATTACAGGTCTTAAAAAGTAAAGAATTTTCAGTGTCCTGCCAAAAATAGGCTACATATTGATTATTAACAATCTGTGACATGCCATAACGAAGAAAAATTTAAAAAACAAATAAGCAGACTTAAAATTAATACAGATGTATTCTGACAGTTTATGAGTTAATTATACTTTCTATTTGCAAAATTTCCTCAACCTTAAGACAAAATAAGAAAAAAGTGAACTTTTAAGAAATTTGTGGGATTTCCCGGGNAGAAAAATTTAAAAAACAAATAAGCAGACTTAAAATTAATACAGATGTATTCTGACAGTTTATGAGTTAATTATACTTTCTATTTGCAAAATTTCCTCAACCTTAAGACAAAATAAGAAAAAAGTGAACTTTTAAGAAATTTGTGGGATTTCCCGGGGTTAAAAAACAGCCAGGATCCCATTAGAGAAACCCTAATGGCTACTCTCTGAACACCATCAAAGGTCTAATTCATTGTCATTCCACTGCCTCTGGCATGCCTAATAGTTAGTCCTGCACATTGTATACAAAGCTATTATGTACAACAGGAGACTGTCTGCCCTGTACAAGGAGATGGCCAGAAACAATAACTTTTTGTTAGCTTTCAGAAGTCTCTCAATTTTCATCCTCCTCTGCAATACTAAATACCATCCAGATATGCACCTCCAACCTGGTGTTTATACTATTCCTTTTTTTGGGTCACAGAGCCAACCATAACTTACAATATATGGGTGCTACAGGGTGAGCTTTAAACACTTACCTCAAAGAACATTGGACTTCCATCATGAAAGGGTTTGCCAATATGGCATTAACAATCTTCGCCTATGACTCAAACATAGATGTACTGTACATTTCAACTGAGCACACCTTCAACATAACACCTCCCACAAAAAATGGCTTAGATATTTAGAACAATTAGAAATTTGTAAAGCCATGAGAAATAATGCAGCTATCAACTTACATCTATTCCTCTTTATGTACAATCATTGATTTTTTCTTTGTAGGAAAAATGCTTTATTTAAAAATTTTTAAATTTAACTTTTTGTTAAAATTACATTGCTGTTTAAAAAAAGTTACTCTTTTTGTTGAAAGATTGATTTTAAAATTACGTGTTTCTAAGTCAAGAGTTCATTTTAAACACAGTTCAGTACTATTTGTTTATCAAAGAATACTGTTTGTTGATTTACGTTACCTTGTATTTACTAGATTTACATACAAATAATAATGATAAATGATGATAAAATAAAAAGCTTGTGTTTTGTTAGTAAATTGCTTATTTTTTCATTACACTGAAGTTGTGGATTCTATCAAACATTTTTCTACAGGATGTGTGTACGGTATTTTTTTAATGTGGAAGTCTTTGAATCATATCAACTGTGCAAAAAGAGGGCTAGATGTATTCAATGTTCAGTAAATGTTGTTTTATTATATCGATATTCCACCCTAAGAAATGTGAGGGTCAAGGAAAGTCAGGGAATTCAAAACAAAAATTTGAGTAGGAACCCTGTACGTAGAACAGCAGATAGATCACATATCAGATATCTGGAGTTAATGGAGATGTACAGAGGGACCCAAAAGTCAAAAGCCATCAACTGTAAAGAGGATAGTGCAATCCTGAACCTGTGAAAAATATATATAAATTCAACAAAAGCACATTCCATGCAAGTTGCTATGTACAAACATTCCATCAATCANTGATATTTTAGATTCCTCTTCTGACAGTGATTATGATTCCAATTGTATAGATAAAAATAAAAGAAAAATTAAAGAAAAGAAAGTAAGTACAATAAGTTTTAAACTATGAATATTTTTATTAAAAGTTCTTAGTACTTTTTAAAAAATTTTTGTCATGTAAATCAGATCATTATTACAATTTGAACACAATCCACAGCTTTACATGTAAAAGTCAATTTGAAAATGGGTGTAGATCATTTACCAACTTTAACTTTCAGTGACAAACAGCTTTTACTTTGTCTAAAGTAGTCATGAACAACCTGTAACCCAGCAGCAGACTGTAGTGGGCCACATGAGCTCAAGCCACATGTAGTCTGTGTAGTCCTAATGGTCCTAATTTTCTTGTTTTCTGTCTTGTGCCATTATACAACTCTATAAAGAAACATGATAAAGAACATTCAAAGTTATTATGATTATTGAAACAATGTTCTTGTGTATGCAAATGATAAGTGGTGGTGGTGTAGACATTTACACTTTTATCTTGAGCAGTTCCTAGATCAAACAACATAGCCTGATGATATTCATTTAAGATGGAAGAAAACATTTGCTGGATTTCTGTGCGTTACTTTGCTGGTTTTTGGTTATTGAGAGTGTAGTATTTGGATCACTTATGGACATTTCATCATGTGAATGCATATGATATATTGGGTTGTTCGGAAAGTTTGTAGCAATTTTTGATAGCTGACAGTTGAGACACTGATTGACATGAAAATGATTAGAATTGTACAAACCAATGAATATTACGATAAATGACCTTGAGACGTGTCTGTTATAAAAAAAGCCATTAAGATTATTCAAATATTGTTTAATTTGTCTTATTGCAAAATGGATGCAAACAACATGTATTATCGATACTTGTTTCTTTTTTTTATTATAAAGGAAAAAATTCTGTACAAACAGCAAAAAAGATATATGATGTTTATGGTGGGAGTGCTGTAGAAGAATCAACTGTTCGAAAGTGGTTTGCAAAATTTAAAGTGGGTAATTTCAGCCTTGAAGATGCTCCCCACTCAGGAATACCTCCCATTATTGAAGAGGACCAGATCAACGCATTATTGGATGAAAACTCTCATTATACAACTTGAGAAATTGCAGACATAGTGAAGTCATCAAACAGTACCATATTTCAACATCTAAAGAAGCTCTGATGTGTGAATCTTTATGACATTTGGATATCTCATGACTTAACGGAAAAGAACTTACTGGATCGCATCTCCATTTGTGATTCTTTTGAAAGATGAAATGAAAATGACCCTTTTCTGAAGCGTTTAGTGACAGGTGATGAAAAGTGGATTGTTTATAACATCAGCCAAAAATGATCATGGGGTAAGAAAAATGAACCACCATTAAAAACTCCAAAGGCTAGTCTTCATCCAAAGAAGGTCATGCTCACAGTCTGGTGGGATTGGAAAGGAATCCTGTACTATGAGCTGCTTCTACAGAATCAAACAATTGATTCTGATAAGTATTGTTCCCAATTGGATAAACTGAACATGGCAATTAAAGAAAAACATCTGGAACTGGCCAATAGAAAAGGCATTGTGTTTCACCAAGATAATGCCAGACTGCACACGTCATTATGAACACAACAAAAATTATTGGAACTAGGCTGGGATGTTTTACCTCACCCCTCATACTCACCCGACCTTGTCCCATTAGACCACTATTTGTTCCGTTCTCTGCAAAATTCCCTTCATGATAAAAACTTTGACACTTTGGAAGCTTGCAAAAACCACATGGATCAGTTTTTTTGTGGGAAAAACTGGAAAGTATGAAGAGGGTATCATAAAGCTCCCTCATAGATGGCAACATATCATTAAAAACAGTGGCACATATGTAATAGAATAAAAGTATATTTTTAGTTTTAAAACAGTTTATTTTATTTCTCTTAAAAATCGCTATGAACTTTCCAACCAAATCAATAAAAAAATTTTAAAAATTAGATTTTTTTTGACTAGTTATTTCTATGTCAATGGAAACACTTCTAAATCCTTAACATTAATTACAATACTTTTTTGCCTTTCTTATAAATCCACAATCTCTCAATTGACTAGAAATTTTCTCTTGATGTATTTCTTTGAAAATTTTTGTTCTGTCTAAATCAATCAACCAAAATCTTTTATATATATTGGAATAATCTCTGTTATGAAGGTGGCATAATAGTTTTAATAACATAACAAAATAATTATAACTTTATGTATATATATTGTTCTTTAGTTTAATCTCAATCATGTTACATAATTTAATCTTTAATTATTTTGGATATTTGGATAAAAACGTTATAAATCTTATATGTTTGGAGTTTATTCAGATTTACTAAGTGGTTCCAAGAATTGTTTTCTGATGTTAAATTAAAGCCATCTTGAATACCATTTGATTTATGAATAGATGACAATACTTGACATTCTGTAATGATATAGTGTATTGAATAATCCTTGCTTTTGCATGAGTAACAACTGTCCCTTATTATTTTAATATAGATATTATTTATATAAAAGGAGTATTTATTCAGATGAATCTGAATTATCAATATTTTCCTGGCAAGTCCAATATTTATGTTTATATATGTTGGGATGTATAAAGCTTGGTTATATCATGGATGGAATTTGGAGTTATTTAGAGCTTTATGATTTTTTAGCATTGAGAAAAGTCTGACATCATTATTGATGAGGAGCCATATTTTTGGTCTTGTTCCATGTTGTCTGAAAATAGATGTGATTCACAAAAAGAAGTAATTAGTAGATAGAACTTTGCTAGCCAAGTACACTTATTGACATAAAAATTAGCACACCAAGAAGGAGTTGTAGTATTGCTGTAAAACTTGGCATGCAGACAAGTCTCAAACAGGTATGGAAATGTAATTCTCTTTCTAACCTGTTACAGGTGCGTCTACTACGTCGTAACGAACCAAAAACGAACCAAAACTAACGTTTTCGAACCCTTATACCGGTTCTTCTTCAGGCTTTTTCGAATCTCTGATGGAAAATGCAGCTCATAGAAACTTTAAATTCGAAATACGTATGTTCGAATGCACGTTTTCCGTTTTCGTCGGTATGTCATGCGCAGTCGACTCCAAAACGGATATTATAAATTACCATTCATAAACGCTAGCCACGCTGTTGATAACGTAATCTCTTCTTTATAATTGATGCATTGATTATCCTTAAGGTTAGCTAAGTATATGCTGGCTGCCTCTAGCCATCTGATATGGTGTACTTGCCGTGTGGTGCGGATAATTCAAATTTAAAGTTTTTATGAGCTGCATTTTCCATCAGAGATTCGAAAAAGCCTGAAGAAGAACCAGTATAAGGGTTCGAAAATTTACACCACACGGCAAGTACACCATATCAGATGGCTAGAGGCGGCCAGCATATATTTGGCTAACCTTAAGGATAATCAATGCATCAATTATAAAGAAGAGATTACGTTATCAACAGCGTGGCTAGCGTTTATGAATGGTAATTTATGATATCCATTTTGGAGTCGACTGCACATGACATACAATGACGGAAACGGGAAACGTGCATTCGAACTTACATATTTTGAATTTAAAGTTTTTATGAGCTGCATTTTCCATCAGAGATTTGAAAAAGCCTGAAGAAGAACCGGTATAAGGGTTCGAAAACGTTAGTTTTGGTTTGTTTTTGGTTTGTTACAACGTAGTAGACGCACCAGTAACAGGTTAGAAAGAGAATTATATTATTCTCTGGTGTGGTGGTAAAGAAGTGTAGGTATGGAAATGATTAGAGTTATAGTGTAATGGCTTATTGCATAATGCTAGCAGAGGGCATTAAAGTGCACTTCCCTTGGCCTATAAAAAAGCACACAAAGGCATCGTATCTGTAGTTTACCTGTTGCAGAGAGATGCTGTATCACTAAAGATGCCTTTATGTCACAATCAAAGACCATATGAACAACTAACTGAGTTTGAGAGGGGAAGGATCATCTGCTTGAGAAAAGTTGGATGGTCATCTCACTGAATAGCCTGCCACCTTGGCCATTTTGACAACACTGTGAGAAGGTTTTGGGACCAGTGGATGAGACCGAGCTCTCACATATGGCACCCAGGCTCAGGACACCCACGACGGACCACTAGCTGAGAGGACAGCCTGGTTCTCCAACAAGCACACACACAGCTGACCATATCATTGTCCGCCATCTGGACACAGGTGGCACCATTATTACAAGCCCCTGTATCTGTCCATACCATTTCGAGGCACCTGGGTGAGTAGCATTTGGTATTGCGGCAGCCATTACATGTGATGCATTGATACCATCCACAGTCGTCTCCATTTGGAGACGAGTCACATCACCATTTGAAGTGGTGTCACTCCCAATTGGATTAGACTGCTACAGAATGGAACCAGGTTTAGTGACTACAGTGACAAATCAGGTTCAGTTTGGGCATTGATGATGGCTGTGTTTGTATCTGGAAGTCCCATGGTGAACATCTCAATCCTGCATATGCTTTGGAGTGGCACACTGTCCCCACAGCTGGTGTGATGGTCTGGGGTGCCATTACATAGAACAGCCAGTCACCTCTAGTAGTGATCCAAGGACCATGATAGCTCGGTGGAATGCTACTGACATCCTGCAGCTATGTGTTTCCTCTCATGGCAAGATCTATTTTCCAACAGGACAATGCTTGACTACACACAGTAAGGTTGTCATAGGACTGCCTCCATCACATTGCACTTCCCTTGCGTGGCTGGTTCTGATTTTTTTTATCTTCACTCTACTGACTGTTATATAACAATCCTTCTATTTACATTATAATAAAATATTAAATATCAAATTTTCTCATTGTGGCTGGTAAATATGCAAAATATCATATTACAGGTGGCAGTTAATGTGTTAAAGAAAATTATAAGTCTTTTTAAGTAGAATGAAAAGAAACAAAATCTGGTAACTCCATGTTGTATTGCATAGCCTAGGGCATTCCTTTCAATGTAAAAAAAAATCTTCATAGAGGAAGTATTTGAAAATTGTGTTTACATATATATTTTAAAGCTTTGTGTTATAATTTTAAAAAGTATTAATAATTTTACCATTTATTTTTACATATAAATCAGAAATGAATATAAAACTTTAATATTTTGTAATTACAGGATTCTTAGAATCTTAATATATTTATACATTCATACCCCGACTTACGCGAACCCAGAGTTACGCGATTTTCAAATCTCGTCGATTCGTCTTTTGTTTGAGCGCCACGCAACTCTTGATTATTCACTCTCCCCCACACTATTGTTCAGCTTAATGTTCGGACATGTCGTGCGGAATCGACGCATAGCTATAATTTATTTTGTGTAATTTATTTCTGTTTGTTATATCTACGGAGACTCGAGACTATGTGGTGATTTCTTGTAACCGTGAATGAACCAGAAGGCGAGATAAGATTAACGAGAACATTTATTAGCTTACATACATCCGACTTGGATTTTACACAAAAGGCATCTGCAATCGTGAACAATTGACGAAAAAAGTATACATTTATCATATAATAAACAAAGACTCATTTTGTAAACAATTTACCTTTTGTATATACAACTGACAAGATTACCTTTCAAATTATAAACAGACTCAATCCCAAGCGGTCTTTTGATCGTCGGACATACAAAAGAAATGAACAGATAACGCCTAACTTAAGCGCGGTTTACAATAACGAATATGATTAATCTTAACACTCTACTATGTCATCCAAATGAAGTAGAACTGATTCTTCTGCATCAAACAAGAAAAGAAAAACTTTATCTTTGGAATGTACGTGTAAAGTTAACATTATTAAAGACTTCGATACAAAAATGAAAATTTGTGAATTGGCAAAGAAGTTTGATCTACCGGAATCGATGGTCAGAACAATTATAAAAGGTAAAGAAAAAATTCTCGAAGCTGTAAAAAATGCTCAATCTTTAAATTCAAGCATCATTCGTAAATGTCAAGGTATTATCGCTGAGATGGAAACAATGTTAAAATTATGGTGTGATAATCAAGTTAATGTGAAAAATTGTATAATAATATATTTTGTTATACGTATGTATTATCTAAGATTTTACTAAACATTTTTTTTCTAAATTATTGTTTTCTTTAGTCTCCGGTCCCAATTAAAAATAATTTGTATGTATTTATATGCAAAATTATACCCCGACTTATGTGAATTCGACTTACGCGGTTATCGCTCGGTCCCACCTATTGCGTAAGTCCAGGGTATGACTGTATATCTAATTTAACATTTCTTCAATGTAACTTTAGATTTATTTTAAAATAAAATAATTTTTATAATAACTTTTAAAATTCTGGTGTTTATACAATAAAATAATTTTTGTTTTATAGTATAAAGAATTTAAAACGAAAAAATTAGATCCAGACTACAGGTTGAAGAGAAGAAGATTATTAACATCAACCACAGCATCTTCAAGCAGACTGACTAATTTAAAACGAATAAATTATAAAGAAGATTCAGATGTAGAAATTTTAAATGTGTTTAAATCAAGTACAAAAAATCTTGATAATGATATAGATTCAGTTACAGAGGATTCTTCAAAGAAAGTTAAAAAAAATGGAAATTTAAGTAATAAAAGTGATAAAAGTAATGGTTTACCAGAGTGTGCAGCTAATTATGATAATTCTTTTCAAGTAAATTCTCAATCTTCAAAATGTGAAAAGGTAACCTATCAACTTATTGAATATAAAAAATATATTCTTCAAAATATATTAAATAGATATACAGTCAAGCTTCAATTCAGTGCTGCTACTTTTTTGTCACTGAAATTGGTACTAAATTGAGTGTGCGCTAAGCTGAAATAACCCAAACAATAAGAATTATAAATTCAACTACTCAAAACTGGATATACATTAATAAACACTTCACATATAACTAATATCCACCATCTTACCTTATCCAATGGACACATATCAACTAAAGTCTACAGGAAACCTATACATCATCTGATCTTCATTCCTGCCTCTTCTTGCAATCTGTTTTTCTTCTGATGGCCTGACAAATGGGTAAAGGCCTGAGGATTAGGGCACTGAAGCCTTAATTCATCAGGCCTTCACCCATTTGTCTGACACTCAAGATGGGAATAAGGAACTCTTAACTATCACCCAGTATGCCAGACAACATAGCTAGTAGAGTTTCTCATTTTTCTGTCCTTTGCTTGTCCTGGGATTTCGAGAAAAAGCAAACTTTCCTGGGATCCTGGGAAATCCTGTAATATAATTAATTATTTTTAAGATATAAAATAAATCTTGAAATCAAATGATATAATTATTTTTAATTTTTTAAAGTAATTTTATATGTTCTGCAGCCTCCAAAATAATAATAATAATAATAATAATAATAATAATGCTGTATAAAATATGTATTAATAGTTATCTTTGAATTACGTAGAAATTTTCAGAAATAGAAAAAATGTATTAAAGTTTGTTGGAAACTGCTTACAA